TGTTCTTCGTATTACTTCGCGAAGTAATCAAGGTCAAACTTTGTGGTGGCTTCAGAAAAAATAACTAAACAGGGGTAAATAAATATCATTAATTTGTATGTAATAGTACTATATTAAACTGATATGAAAAAACGAAAACATTGCATTCCTTTAAGGTGACACAAAAATATTTAGTTTTAATCATTATCTAATATTTTTTAATTACAATATTTTCAATATTTTCCGTAAAATGTCAAGAAAAATATAAATTTCAACTTTCTTTTGCAGCAATAAAAAACCTCATGGCCGTGTTCCTGGGGTCGAACTATAATACTACCAATTATAAAAATATTTGCACTTATTTCTAGGACCGATGTATGTATATATTAGCGATGGGAACTATCGAATGAATTAGACTATCAGAATGGTTACTGAATGAATGATTTCAACTATCGAATGGTTTCATTCGAATAAAATCATTCATTCATTTGTACTACTAACTAAAGCATATGTGACAAACTCGCCGTGCGACTAAATGGTTATCGTTAAGCCACGATTATCGAATGCTTTAGATAAATGAAATTTAGTATTCGTTTTGATTTTTGTCTGCGTCAGTGCATTATTAGTTCTTCAGAATTTTTTATAACTTGCCTTCTAAATACTGTGCTATTTTGCGTTTATTAAAATGTTTAAAATACTGAAAGTAGTAATTTTTTAAATTGACGATTGTGTACGTTTGCAGGTGGTCAAAATTTTCCGAAATTTGTGTGATTTTCCGATCTTTCAATTATTTAATTTTATACGGTATATGGTCTATTTTTTTAATGGGAAATTTTGAGAAGTAACAATTTTTAAGAGAGATGAGGTGAACTTACAATTAATTTAAAAATACATATACATTTGTATTTTAGATGTTTGATAATATGAATTAGTTGAACTTAATAATCATATTTAAGTAATGTGGTTAAGTAAATGTTTATCGAACTCAAATTTTGGGATGATAAAATTAAATTGATTGATTAAAGTTTACACGTGCCAATTTAAAAAAGTTAACGATATTTGTATTTTGTTTATGCTAATTCTCTTACATGTAGATTTTTGCGAAGAAATATTTCATTTATTTTTTAAAGTAAATGCCAGTAAAACCAAATACTATTTTTAAATACTAATACAAAAGTAATAAAAGGTAATAAACATATATAATTTTGATTACTAATTTTGTTTATATTTTTTCTTCTATTACACTGCATGTAGAAAAATTAATAAATGTTTATATTTTCATGATTTTAAAATTTGTTGTTAATATAACAATTTAGTTCTGTAATTATTATTATTTAATAAACCAACGTTGCCAAAAAATTTAGGAACTATATTATTTTTTAAATAGGATTAATACTTAAACTAATTTTGACTTCTAATTTGTTGTTTATATTTTGCTACTTAAAAAAAAATGTTTATATTAAATGATTTTAAATTTTGCTGTTAATAGGTATAACAAATTATTACTGATTATTATTATTTATTAAACCAGTTTTGGCAAAACAGTAAAAATCATTTTCCTACATCCAAAATAAAAAGTATTATTGCAGTGTAACAACAGAATGACATTAATAAAAAAAATGCAAAATATAGTCATACCACAGGTCATACTATCCCTAACTAACTATAATACCCAAGAATAATATTCTTTGCTAATACGAACTAATACGAATATACGGCAACAGCGCCATTCATAATGTATTTTCTGTGTAAATACTAGCACCTCAATAAAAAAAATAATGTGTCCTTGTCTTTATCTTTATCGTGACTCAAAATCCAAAGATGCCTTTTTCATACCATTGCCACCGAACGCCGACCGCTGTCGGGTTTCTTGAAAAGAAACCTACGTCGCCGGGCGACAACTAAATCCAGTTTATATTTTATTATAATCCATCCTGACGAATAAATGAATTTTACAAATGAATGAATTTTTTAAATGAATGGTTTTTGCCGCCGAATTAATATATTTCCAGGCAGATGACGCATCTATTCGATATTTTTACTCGAATAGTTTTCGACGAATGTTTTCTTACTATCTAATTATTCGAATGAATTGCAACTATCGAAATGTTTCGATAGTATTCATTAAATGATTCCCAGTACTAGTATATATAGTAGTTTAAGGTAGAACAAAGAGCGTTTTTTTCTTAAGGATTTAACTTTAAGATAATCACATTAGTTAATGGAGATAGTGTAATTTATCGCTACTTTAAATACAAACTTGAGAGAAGGAAAGTTAGCAATTAAATCTGTTTGATAAACTTCGAATTTTAATGGCGCTAAGTGAGTAAATTGCAGTCGGAAAACGTTCATTTCGAGAGTATGTTTCTCCCTAGTGGCCAACAAAGGGATAAGTATTTAATTATATAAAATTTTTTTTTTTTTTTTTTTTTTTTTTTTTTTTTTTTACAATTTTCAATTTTATTCCAGATTGCCTATTATATCAAAATATTAAATACTACTACTACTGCTATTACTCGCTGACGAGTATTTGAAGATGGTTACGCATCAAATTATGATTTTAAAGGCGTTTACTTTCTTCATGAAGCTTTTCTGTGACTGACAATCCCGATACGTGATATGTTATCTCTCTTCCGCACTTACCTTGATGCCTGTTTATTTTTTGGTTGTTAACAACTGAGTTTACAATTCTTCTGCATTGCGTTCTATTGTACGCTGCTTCTCCACCGATTCTGCATACTTGTTCATATATCTTAAGCGGAATTTGGTAATCATGATTTCAGCGCTCTCGCAGTTAGTTTTCAAGGACCGATACGTTTGAGACATGGTGGTTCAATTTGATTATTAACAACTGTCTAAGGTGTCTCTATTGCAACATATTTAAGCTTGATTTTCATGCATCCGTTGTCCGGCGATACATTGATACGATATTAATTTTATTGGTAGAATTTAAAAACTTTGATTGGTTGAAAATAACGCCCAGTTTTAAATTTATTGCATTTCATGCCTCCGTTTTGTCGGATATACGTTCGTGTCATTTTATATTTTCGTATTCATAACGATTTTTTGCTATTTTACTTCTATTTTTATTTAAAGGTTAGATTAAATTTGTCAAAAAAGTGTCAAAACGCCCGTTATCGTAGCGAACGGGTACGTTGACGGGTTGAAGTAAAATATTTACCGATAAAAAGTGGCGCGAAAAAGCTATGACCAATCAGAGCACCGTCGGACCAACGTATCAACGTATAACGGATATGCAAAGAAAATCAAAAATAATCCGTCCATGTGCCGGCGGCACGGCATGCGGCACCCAGGTTCCGCTTCCATATAACATTATTGATATTGTTATCTGTACATTGCATGTTCCGTTTTTGTGCATTGCTCAAGTCATGATTGGCGAAAAACTGTGTCTTTTAATTTCACAAAAGAAAGAGCTCTTGAGGGGCTGCTAATTCTGTGCTGTATTTCAGAGTCGATTTTAGCCTTTTCCGAAATTTAAGTGCCGAGGTAACTGAATTCCGCTACATACTCCAATAGTCCTCCAATTTTTATAGCATACGATTTTTATTCTATCGATGTTGAGCCTAAGGCCCAAAACTTCGTATGTCCAGGTAGCATATATGTTCAGCATTTCGTGTAATTGCTGTAACGTTTTTGCAGCTAGAGCGCAGTTATCAGCGTACTGAAGTTATGTGATAAATTAGCGCACGTGTGTTTTTGCCCTAAGTCTTATTATGTTAAACAGACCGCCATCGTATCTGTATCTAATGACCATTCCTCTTTCCTGCAGTTTGGTGTCCACTATAATAAAGAACTCGACCTGAATATGTTGAATAGGAGAGGTGCTAAGACAAATCCCTGCCTAACCCCTGTATTTGTCAGGAAGGGATCGCCCATATGACACTCTTGACTTGTTGTTATGGAGGTTTTTACACACACTGTAAGAAATTTGATGGGTACTCCTAACTTTTGCATAATTGCCCAAAGTGACCCTCTGTTTACAGAGTCCAAAAGGCTTTTGTTAGATCCAATCAATACAACATAAAATTTACTCTGCTGCTCGCTACTTTCTGTTAGTTGGCTGACGGAGAATACAGAATTGACGTTGCCGCGGTTGGTACGAAAGCCCGTTTGTGATTTCGGAAGAATGTTTTCTGTTTGTGGGTGCAGGCGGTTTGACATAGTTTTTGCAAAACTTTCCTCCGATAGACAGTAGTAAAATTCCCCGGTAGTTTCCGCAATCTGGTGTACTTCCCTTATTTTTAAATATATTCACTATCCGCTTTCCCATATGACGTCAAAGTGAATCAGTAAAATATAAAGAAATATAAAAAATTACGGAAATATCTTACATACATTTATTTTTTTACATAAGGGAGTAGAAAGTTTCAGGTAATTTGTCAAGTTAACAGTTCACATGCTCATATAGGGAGGTAGATGCCAATTTTCTGCTCTACGTAATCTAATTGATTTGGCGAGAAACTTAGTAATTAAAGTTAATAATTGAATGCGGTTTGACAAACTTCGGAATTTAGTACATACTGAAAACGGTATGAATTGCTGTAATCTGTGTAATTCTCTATAAAATTATACAAAACTTCGTTTTAAAACTATTTTGAACTGCAAAAAATATTGTTTGAACTTAATTATTAACAAAATGGGGGAGGGGGGGGATAAATCCTGGGGAGAAATAAAAAATAGAGTATTTGTCACATCATCAGTATATACTCGTATTAACATTCATACATGTGGTAACAATTTAATAATAAATATAAAAAAAAAAAAAAAAAAAAAAAATAATTTTTTGGTTTTTAATTTTTGAAATTTCAAGTTATCTGTCATATTGTCAGGACTTTTATTCAAATCTTTTGTTGTAGGATCTATAAGATTATAATGAAATTATAATATGAATAAAACGAATTAACGAGCGCTATTGATTGGTTAATGTCTTTGCTATTCTAGCAATAATAGTGAAGCAGAAAATAAAATATATTTTATATTTTTTAAATGTTGTGAATGAGATAATTTTCAAATTGTTTCTCTTGTTACAGGTTTCCTGGGTGCGTCATAGAGACATACACCTTCTTACAGTAGGTAGATATACGTACACGTCTGATCAACGTTTCGAAGCTATCCACACTCCTCACACTGAAGAATGGACTCTCAGAATACGATACCCACAGAAGAAAGATTCTGGTATATACGAATGTCAAATAAGCACCACTCCACCCGTTGGTTGCCTGTATTTTTTGACGATAGTCGGTAAGTATTAATTATTTCAATTACTTATTGGTATTAATCAATAATTTAAGTTTGTATTATGAAAAAAGTACTTTTTAAAAATAAATACACCTACCCGACCTTTGGATGTCAAGACTACTGGAAATAATTATAGTCTATTCAACGAGAGACTTGACATATGTCTGCCATTTTAATTCTAGATAAATTGTAATTTTCTACCTGATTTTTTCGGATGTCGAAATCTTCCCTAACTTGTTGGACTTTATATGTATAATGACCTATTGACTTCGCCAGTGTGTTTACTTACATCGCATATTAACATATTTGTGCATCCGTGTTTTTCACATAGAAACATGATGGCATATTCTAGATATTCACCTATCCAAACCTACATCTGGTCTTAGGTTGATTCACTTTGATGATCGGGGGAAACCAGTTTGTACAGGGTGTCCCATTTTAGTTGAAATCACACGGATGCGGTTTGCACAAACCTGTTCAAGTTTTTTGTCAAACGGAAGATGCTATCAACAAAATTTTCATATCCGCCGTTTCTGTCTTTGTCGCGAAAAATTGGTTTGGTTAGGGCAGCTCCCTTAGCTTCGTTACTGTGAAAGATATCTAGAAGGTAAAAACTGATTCTTGTAGAACTTTTACGTAGAATACACACACATAGGTTTAGTCTATTTTTCTCGCTGCTTTTCTACAAAAAAAAAAATATTTTGAAAAATTATGAACTAAAGTTATGTTTCTTCAAATGACACCCTGTATATTTATAAGGCATAATGACCGTCTTGTATAAAGCTTCTTAAAATATATAACACTTATATTTAATTTTCACTATTAATGCAATATGTCAAAGATATAATTTTCTTTATTAGTATCACAGATTAGGATATGAGACTATATGTATACAGAATCAGAGATCTTAAGTCCCCTAATTCTTGGTAACGATAATATAGATACGATGAGCAAACTATGTAAAATTTTCTGTGGCGCAAAAAATAAACTGGAGTTTAAACTAACGTAAATAACTGGGCCCGAAATCTGTAACTTAGAAAACGCTAAGCGCTTTTACACGCTCAGCGTATATGACGTTATTTTTTGCTGAGCGCGCACTTAACTACCGATTTGGGTATTCTCGTCTGACGCGCTTATCGTCTTTACTGATTGCGCTAAGCGCTTTGAAAACGGTTGCCTTAAAGGATCTTTTTGCTTGTCGAACTGTCAGTGAAAATCGAAAAAAATTGTTGATTTCGTGCGTTTATCTGCTCTTTAGTGAAAACTACTACTTGTTCTATAAATTCCTAAAGTAATCGACAAATTACAAGTTGGTAGCTATAAATATTGTTCAAAACATCAAAAATGCTGAGAATGGTCTTCAACATTTCCCTCGTCTAATAAGAATAAATGACATATCCATTGAAAAATAGGTTGACATAACTCCAAAAAGGTGTTATAAAATTCACGTAACCATTGACATTTTTTCATTGTTTTAGTCACATTTGACTATTAGATACCTGCGAAATTACAATGCTGTCAATATGTGCTCAACGCGTATCCAGAAAACGATTCGCACAGCAACGAGAATACCAAAATTGACTGCTTGACGTTCCGCTTATCGCATACTTTCGCTCACCGCTTTGAAAGCGTAACGTTTTTTTTATTTTTTTTTACAGAATTCGGGCCCTGGGCCGGTCAAGCACTGTGTACAAAATTTTAGGCCATAAGTGGGCGTGGTATGTACGCAAACTATAGCAAGAACCCCTAAACACACACAGAGAGAGTCGGAGAACGGAAAAATCCTGGGATCAGGGCGGCTATTGTTTGGCCTCATGTGTCCCAGTTCATTTGATTTGGGAAATAGTCATTTAACAAAATTCTAATATTTTCAAACTTGTGAGGGGGAATTTCATCTTGCTGAAAGTGTATTTCACGTAAGTTACCTAAAGGAATATCTAAATGTTCCGGTACGATAGCTTCCAAGATTTACAAATAGCGGTAGTATGTTAAGTTTTCATGATATACATAGGTACATATAAAGAATTTATTAGTGGCTCCCAAAATAAAACAAGAGACAGATAGCAGTATACTTTCAATTCTTTAGCTTCTTTTATTATCAATAAAATTAAATATAATTAATAATATCATTAAAAAAATTATCATTAAAAAATAAAAATGATTTTTTAATGAAAATATTTAAATATTACAGTAAGAGTGATATATATTTTTGAGGAGCTTATGACAAGCCAAATCATATAATTCATAAATATGCAGGGTTCCATTTAAGAAAACATAACTTTTTTATTCATTACTTTTGTACGCCACTCTATTTAAATCTAAAAATTTCTACAATAAATTCTAAAAATTTCTACAATAAACAGTTTTCGTCTTCTCGAGACTTTTCACATTAACAGAGATACGGGTATCCCAAATTGCAAAATTTTCAAACAAAACCTCTACGAAAATTTTGTTAACAGTATCTTCCGTTTGACAAATAAATGGGACCGGTTGGTGCAAACCGCACCCTTCTATCTTGACTAATAACGGAGATACCGTATGATTTCAACTAAAATGGGACAACCTGTACATGTTTGTGGTGCACTGGGCTGATACTAAAAATAAATTGAAACTACACACATATTAAATTATATTTCTCTTTGAAACTTTTTAATATCCTTTTTAAAATTGTTATTTTATTTTTTTTCAAAAAATTTAAATTCTGGGCATAAAACTATGCAATTTAGTTATAGAATTTTTTAAGAACTTTAATATAAGTGGAATAAAAAAAAATAAATGTGGAATATTGCATAAAGTTGGACAATTGACGTTTAAAACTACAAAAAATTTGCATATCTATGTCTAAAATTGTTAGTCCTTTAATACTTTCTACATTAGCATAATAAAAGATCTAAGCAATTTAAATATTTTTAATTCCTGCATAGGTAAGTTTCATAGAGAGCAATTTTATATTACGGTTTTATAAAATTCTTCCCTTTAATCCTATTTGTATTTAAATGTGGTTGGTATTTAAAAAATTTAAATAAACGTTAAGTTTAGTTAAATTTAATTTTTGTGAAGAAATTATTTTCTTTAAATATTGTTTATAGTTTTTTTTATTTACGTTGAGAACAAATGTTATATCAGTTCCTTAATTTACTAAAAAATATATTTCTAAAAATAAGGTATAATAATTATTATTTAATACCAAATATATCAGACTATTACCGTTAACTGAAAGAATTGGAAAGATACCCAACCTAATGGACAAATTCGAGACAAGGCTGATTTGATTTCCCCTTACGTCTGAAGTGCTGTACAGTGGAAACACCAATCCTCCTGCGGTCAATGCATAAAACACTTATATTCTCTAATTCGGCCAGCGAAGGCATATCAAAGACAGTGTAGAACTGAAAGCGACAGTATTGCCATATTAAAATGTAAATTACTCTAATAAGTTTGATCTTTGCATGAAAAATCCGCGTTTTTGTATTGAAAATTTATTCGTATTAAACATAGAATTGACAACAAAAATAAAAATTAAAATATTAAAGAGGACTAATTAATATGATTCCAGTATTCAAACTACTGTAATGAAGTCCGTATATTTTTTTTTATTTAACCTGTTAAATGCTTAACGATAGCTCGGCGCGAAAGTACTTCGCTGGTACACCGAAGAGCCAGGGTTCGATCCTACCTTGGGACATAACTTTTTTATTTTTTTTATCGTTAATATTCTGATTGTAAATGTTTAAATATTTGTTTTTTTTATCACCAGAACGGATAGCGTTTGTGGATTTATGAACCATACTGTATATAAGTAGAATTTGATATGTTCATTTGTTTTGAAGGATTATGGTAACAAATAATTCTTAGACAAGCTTAGTATGGTTTATTTTTATTTTTAGAACTGTTATGGTAGACTAAAACCGAAAAATATTTTTAATACTAAAAATTATTTGCTGATAAAATTGTGTTATATATTTCGTCGATTTGCATGGATACGTTGAAGTTTTTTTTGGTGCAAACAGCAAATGGTTTTTTGTAGAATCGACGGGTAAAAACCGTTTTTTTTACTGTAAGGAATCTTGATGGGTCGTAGGACGATGGTAACCGAACGTGGTTCGTGGTTTCCGACGGGAAAGATTATTTAAGCGACGGGAGCGCGAAAACGGGTTCTTCCTGTTGAGACTAAGTACCGGTGATCTTTACTAAGTAAACCTCGTGAGTTTAAGTCAATTCTGATCCGTTATTTTTTTTATCAGCGCTGCTATAAAAAACCGAATTCTGAGTTTTAAAGTAAAAGTACCGTATCTCCGTTTTTGATTTTAAATAAGTATAAATCGTGGTCCCAGAGATTTGATTTAAAATAAGTATAAACCGTATTTCTGATTTATGAGTATAGTTAGTTAAAAACCGAGCATTTAAGTTTTCTTTATATCTGACCGTGAATAATTAGTGTGACTGGATTCCGGGCTGCTGTAGGCGATCCAGACAACCAGGCCGTTTCGTTTGATCCGACGCCGATTTCCTTCAGAAAAAAAGGTAATCGCATTCTTTCTTTTTTTTTAACCACCAGATACCCCATCAGAGTTCTAGTAATCACAAATTTTAGTTTCAGCACAGTAGGGTTTTTATTTTATTTTTATAGTATAAAATTTCTTTACAGATGAGGAGTTAATTAAAATTCCTCTTTTATTTTACCATAATAATATTTCTTTCATATTTGATTTATTTAAAGATGCATGTGAATATGTATTGCTAGTATTTTCTATTATAATATTTCTTTACAGGTTTGAATTTAAATAATATGAAATTAATTATTTGCTATTGTAATTAACTGATTTAATTTCTCTGTGTTAGATTTTGCTATATTTCATGTTTTAATATTTTCTTCATATTTGATTTGGTTGAAGATATTGGATTCATATTTAATTTATTTAAATAAACTTCGTTATGAAATATATTCGACTTTAACTGGCTTTTACCCCATTTCCCTGGATTCTCCACTGTAGAAAAGCTAC